GTCTGAAGTATGTGTTGTATCCCCTGTAATTACCAATGATTGTGAGCCACCATGTGGCTGCAAGGACGGACACACACACACACACACACACACACACACACACACACACACACACAGCTGTCACCATTCAGAAAATCTGGGTACTGTGGTGCAGTCCTAGCACTTTGGAGGCTGAGGCAGAAGGATCCTGAATCCAAGGCTACCTACAATACACAAATCCATAAGTAAATGACAAATGATGAAGACACATCATTTTGGTAATGGAAAAATTAAGTCCATAAAAAGTGTAAATAGAAGGTCCCCAATGTGTAAATATAAATATAAAACTGTATACAGTGAATGTTAGTAGTAGTTATCTTTGCCTTGTTAATTTATATCATATGTGACTTATGAAGGCATATATTTCTTATCAGAAAAATATTTTCTCTTCTTCCTTCTTCTTCTTTTGATGTACATTGATTTTTTTGTCATGGTTCTCAGGTCTCCTGGAATTGGAGTTATAGACCGTTGTGAGAGGCCATGTGGGTGTGAGTAACTGGACCTGGGACCTTTAGAAGAGCAATCAGTGCTCTTAACTGCTGAGCCATCTCTCCAGCCCCAGAAAAATATTTTCTAAAAGAAATTAATGTGTATTTCTGTGTACCCATGCCACTGCACATGTAGAGATTAGAAGCTTCTCAGGAGTTCCCTTCTACCCTGTCCAATCAGGGTCTCGCTTGTTTTCATGTTACCTTTCCACATGCTTTTTGTCTTGTGGTGTTTCTCATCTCTGTGGGAGAGCTGGGGTTACAAGGTAGAGGGCTGTGTGTGTGTGTGTGTGTGTGTGTGTGTGTGTGTGTGTGTGTGTGTTACAACTTTGTACCTGTGTTCCAAGAGTTTAGCTTCAGTCCATCAGGCATTCAGAGCTTGTGCATTCATCTGCTGAGCTACCCCCCTGCCCCAGCAAAATTAGTTGAAATTAAACATGATTAAAATAAATAATCATAGCGTTTTAAAGAAAAGGGCGAAGGAAGGGCTATGATGGCATAGCAAAGGCTTTTTGATGGAAATGTTTCTTATAGGTCTTTGGACTGGGAAAGTTACATGTAGGAACAACTTTATTTCTGAGAGGGAGAAATTTAGAACAAGTCAGCTCATGGTTGTTGGAAGGCTCTGGAAGCCCTCTTCTGGTCAAGACCTCTGCTTTCCATGGATAGGTTTAAAAGTGCTTTGTCCTAACTGCCCTAACTTCCCACATTAATTGTGGGAAAGCTCTGATGGCACAATTGGAAGTGCATTGCAATGGTAAAGCCGGCAGTATCTATTTCATCTGATTATCACTGTTCTGTCTGTGTGAGATCCTGTCAAGCTGACCACCATATTAGCCATCATATGGATGAATGACGTCAGAAGAGACCATGACAATGAGATAATGTGATACATGGGGAGTAGTCAGAAGAGGAGGAGAGAGCATGCAAAAAGCAGCATGCATTAACCGTCTGTCTCCGAGATTTCTTAGCACTTGTTGTATTTGTGTACCATTAAGGAGGGAATGCTTACTTGCCCTGTTTATTGCTGATTTTACAAAACCATGTTTAAGAAATGCATGTGCTTGTCAGTTGCTGAATATGTCGGACTCTTCCTAACCGTTGAACCTTTGCATCTGTTCTGCCTATGGCCTGTGATATCTTTAGGCTCAACTCCCTGGGTTCACATCTTACTCAAACATCAGATTGTTTTTCAAAGAAACTCACCTTAGCATCTTCTTAATCTTCCAGCAGTGCTGAATTTCTCATTATTGCATTATTTGGTTCATCAGCTCCAATACACTCAGTTCAACAGACCATTGTCTCTACCACTCTTCTCCATTTGACTGGAGGGTGGTGGGGGAAGAAAGTGCCAGAGCTTGGGCACCATGGCATTAGCTGGGTTGGCAGATGTGTGATGTGTTAGTTACCCTTGCTGTTGCTATGACAACATACCTGACAAAAGCAAGTCAATGGAGGGTTTGTTTTATTCAAAGTTTAAGATAAAGCCCTTCACAGTGGAGAAATCACAGGGGCAGAAGCTTGAGGCCGAGCTGGCCATCCCAAGTCAGAAAGTAGAGAGATGAATGCTCATTTAGTCCTTATTCAGTCCAGGACCTCCAGGCCATGAAATGGCGCAGTCCTAAATCAAACCATTCCATTGATAATAGGAACTCCCAATCAGACATGCCCAGGGGCTTGACTCCTAGGTTATTCTGGATCCTGTCAAGCTGACCACCATATAAGCCATCATATGGATGAATGGCATCAGAAGAGACCATGACAATGAAATAAGGTGATACATGGGGAAAAGAGTACTCAGAAGAGAAACGAGAGAGCATGCAAAAAGCAGCATGCAACACTATGAGGAGCCCTCGGGGTTTTGCACCAGTCTCTACCATGGCTCTGACCTCCAACAGAACGTGTCATTCGTCTCTTTAAATGAAGAAGAAATAGACTATGATTATCATAGAAGGTTCCTTTCTTGTGAGAACTTGTGGTCTAATATACTTGGAGTCACAGTTCTCATTTATATAGCTCCTTTCTTTTCTAAAGTAATAACTGGGGTTGTATCTGGAAATTCACCAACACAGAGAGATTGCTATGCCCGGCACATCTTCTTTTGTGAAAGTTGAAAGTTAAACACAGATATGTTGGGAATGACGATGCCTAGACAAGAGAGCAGGTAAGTCAGCTGCGTCAGTGTTCCCAAGGTCTGAGCGTCTCTGTATTTAGTGTGCGTAGCTAGCCCTCTCTCTTTTTCCTCGGTGCCATGTCCACTTGAGTGGGCACCAAGTCATTAAGGCATTATGAAGTGGTTAGATGGGGCAGAGGGTCAGCTCTCACGCTATCAGACTGTAGATTCTGGAAACATGCTTGGCCCCATCACAGGCTCCTCTGACCTGTAAAAAGCCTTGTTGATCTTCCTACTGACTGTCTCATAAGATATGGGAGAAGTGAGGTAATGTCTCCCCGGACCTTTAAGCTTCTCGGAAGAGCAGCATTTACAGGAATGTGATATCTTAATACATTTGCTCGTGTTGTAATGGACTGGAATTCTATTTCCCTAAATTTATTTAGGTGCTTCTAGAATATTTGTGGTCTTGACCTTGAGATCTAGACCTGAGCTAAACCCCTCAGAGGATGTTCAGTTCAGTGAGCCAGCTGTACATTTACAAGGTTAGGAGCTGGGAGGGGCGGGTCATGAGAGCCAGACTAGGAGGTAATGGGGGAGGGAGCTTGTAATCATCTTCAGATTTGTTTCACACTTTAAGTATGCTGTTTTATTAAAAATAAATATCAAAGAAATTGAAACTGTGAGTCTGTTTTAATTTAGCAGTGTCACTTACTGGGGATGGCTTATATAAAATCTCTCTGCTACTTTTCTTTGTGATGGACTTTACCTAACCTCCTTCAAGGTTTTCTTCACCTTTTATTGATTCACAAAATTGTATGTGTTATTGATTCACAAAATTGTATGTGTCCAGATGGCATGAAAGTAGAAGGGAAACTATTTGGGGGAAACAAAGGGGATTAACAGGAAGGGGAGGGACATGAAAGTGGAGGAGAGTGGCTGTGGGGATAAATATACTCAAGGTGCACTCAGTGTTGTATGAACATGGTCATATGCAACATGCAAAATAATGCAAAAATATTTACTGCATCTTGGTACTTGGACCAAATCCTCATTGTTTAATAATTTGTTTCTGACTCTGATACCACCAGTTCTACACAAATAATAACAAATTGTCAAGTTCATTTGCAAGATACCTGCTAGGTTATTAGGTGTGCTTTAATATTGTTTTGGTCTGCACATGAAGGGATCCTAAGTGTTTGTTGAACAATCACAACCAGTCCTGTCATTTGGAGCAATTTCACAGTATGTGGCTGTCTAGTCAGTCTTAAACAGGAAGATGAAAACAGGTGATGAAAAGTAGAAGTAAACACAGATGCCACTGCTACCATACTGTAAAAATACTGTTTGATAGCCGTCATGGTGGAGCACAATGTAATCCCACACCTGGAGAGTGGATGCAGGAAGATCAGAGGTTCTCCTCCATCAGCAAAAGAGTGAGGCTGAGGCCAGCCTGGACTACATGAGGTCCTTTCTCAAAAGAAAGGAAAGAAAAGATATAAATTTATTTTATATTTTTTGTGAGGCAATTTTTCTGTGGTGTTTTCTAGAAGCACTTAGTGTTTTAATGTTTCAAAGAAACGTCAGCCTTCAGTAAAAGAATCTAAAATAACTATTGAGTAAATCTCCCAAAACAAAAAACAAACACACAAACAAAAAGTGTGTGTTCTTTTCTAGAGAGGTAAATATGCACACTATTAAAGAAGCAATGGATACAACTTGGAGTTTTAGAGCAATGATGTAAATCATATCCCACTTTCTGAATTAGAAAAATGTTTCATTTGCTAAACAAATAGGACAATATAGAGAGAATATCTTCTACATCCAAAATAGAATGTGAAAAAGGAAGCCTTTCCAGATAGCATTTTTGTTTGACTACATGGTGTGGGATGGATTTGAGAAAAAATTACATTGTTTCTGAAACTAAGAAACACAGTTTGTATGGGGAAACAATCATAGCTCTCTGGGCAGCTGATCACAGCAAAATGGTGTTTTACTAAGAAAATAGTGCCCCAGAGATACAGTTCGAAGTTAATTTTAGGTAGTCTTATATTTTTGTGTGTATGTGTGTATTGCATATGTGTATGATACATGTGTGTATATTTGTACTTATATGTGCAGATGCAGCTCCCTCAAAGGGTGGAGGCCCTATAGGTAGCCTTGATATAGGTAAATTATTTTCTTCTTGAACATGTTAGACACAATACATAGTTTTTATATAATTTTGCGATAAATTTATCAATTTTTCTGCCATTGTACATGAGTATAGACAAACATACTTCAAAAACATTGAAAATTGTCCACTTTATATTGGTTGGAAGCAAGTAAAATTGTAATTTTTTTCTTTCTATTGGTTGCAGGATCGAAGTAAACAATTGGAGAAGGTCCATGCAGTTATTGGATCTAAGTCATGTGACTTGGATTCTCTCATTTCTGCCTTCACATATGCATATTTTCTGGACAAGGTGAGGGGAAAGGGGATTATTATAGCCTTTGTACCTGAATGTGTGTCTTTTAAGAAGAGATATAGGGGGAAATGTCATATATGGGTATATTATTAAAGATAATAAATATTAAAAAGCTGGGTGTTGGTGGTGCACACTTTTAATCCCAACACTTCGGAGGCAGAGGCATTGGCAAGTGGATCTCTGTGAGTTCAAGGCCAGTCTGGTCTACAGAGTGAGTCCAGGCCAGCCTCCAAAACAATATAGAGAAACCCTGTCTCGAAAAACAACAACAACAAAAATCCAGTAAGCAACAGGTTGAGCACCTCGTGTGGGTTAACCATTATTCTGCTTATGTCTTACTGGTTTCTTCTCAAAACCATTTAATTCTGTACCCCACTTTTTAATTGGATCCTTTGGTGTTTTGGAGACTTGCTTCTTGAGTTCTTTGTACATTTTGGAGATCAGCCCTCTGTTAGATGTGGGGTTAGTGAATATTTTTTCCCATTCTGTGGACTGCCTTTTTGTCTTGTTGACTGTGTCCTTTGCCTTACAGAAGCTTCTTAGTTTCAGGAGGTCCCATTTGTTAATTGTCGATCTCGGTGTCTGTGCTACTGGTGTTATGTTCAGGAAGTGGTCTCTACCAATTCATTGAAGAGTATCTCCCACTTTCTCTTCTAAGAGTTTCAGTGTGGTTGGATTTATGTTGAGGTCTTTGATCCATTTGGACTTAAGTTTTGTGCAAGGCAATAGACATGGATCTATCTGCAGTCTTCTGCATGCCAATATCCAGTTATGCCAGCAGCATTTATTGAACATGTTTTCTTTTTTCCATTGTGTAATTTTAGCTACTTTGTCAAAAATCAAGTGTTCGTAGGTGTGTGGGTTAAAATCAGGGTTTTCAATTCGGTTCCATTGGTCTACCTGTCTACTTTTGTGCCAATACCAAGCTGTTTTCAGGACTATAGCTCTGTAATAGAGCTTGAAGTCAAAACAATTTTAAACAACATGATAAAACATATTTGTAGTAGTGGATTACTTTGATGAGAATTTAGAGGAGTAATAAAAAGCAGGACTCAGGACCTCTGTCTTTCCCTTATCATGTACCATATAATTGTGCCTTTGGCAATAGAAAAACGTGTAGAATAACTCATATGAACAGTACATGAAGCACAGATCACTGGATAGAGACTCAGAAACAGCCATGGCATGTCCAATCTAGGTTCTGTAAGTCTTTACTATATATATATATATATATATATATATATATAATTTACTATATACATATATATATAGTTAATTTTTATTATTTATTTTTAAATTTAAATTAGAAACAAGGTTGCTTCACGTGTCAATCCCAGGTCCCTCTCCCTTTCCCTCCCCTCCTCCCATGCCCTCCCACCAACCCCTCATCCCCCTCCACCAATCCCCACTCCTTTCCCCAGGGAGGGTGAGGCCCTTCATGGGGGGGTGTTCATAGTCTGTCATTTCATCCAGGGCCGGATGGAGAGATGACTCAGTGGTTAGGTTCTGTAAGTCTTAGTTGTTGCCTTTTAGCCCTGATGGTGATGTCCCTTGAGGGAGAATCTCCCTTAATCTGTGAAACACAGACTCACCTACAGAACTGGAAAGACCTTTTTAACAAGTCATGTTCCTATCTATAAACTCCATCAGCCCACAATAATGAGCTTTATTGCCTGAAAACCTTCCAATGTATGTTCCGAATGTTTGGGTACTCTTTCCAGAAGGTTCATGGAATTTTTAATTTTCCAGAGTCTGGTTTATTTTATTTCAATTTTGTTGGGATCTGGATCCCCTGGTATTATGCATAGCTGATCTGGAGTGATTTAAATTCACATGAAACCCAGTCTTCCAGAATGAGCTGTGGGTGGCAAGGGCTGCTTTAGGGCAGCTGAGGAAAATGATGGGTAAAGTATCTCATCTCTACATGTGGGCTCTGCATCACATTTATCTAACAAGTTGTTGACGTTTGCGAGGAAGAGTGATTGGCATGAGAAGATGAATGTGTGTGATTTGGGATGTGTGTATTAAGCAATCCTTGCTATTCTTGGCTGCTCATCCAGAGGACAGTTGGCTGAACTGGACTGACTCTAAGACCACCAGTGATATGCAATTTGAAGAAAGTATATAATAATAACAGCATCACCAACTGGGGATGCATCCTTAAGAAAGAGGTAGGGAAATTTTGAGTGATAAAAGATAGATGATCAATAGGTACATAAATGAAAACAGACTGATAGACTCTCCCTTCCTTTGAAGATTTTTAACCAAGCATAGAAATAAGTGTGGCATTACAGTTAACTGGGAAGAGGAACCTCTATTGAGAAAATGCCTCTCTTCAGATGGCCTGTAAGCAAGCCTATACGTGGCCCTGTGCTGTATAAGAAAGCAGGTTGAGCAAGCCAGTGAGCAGCTCGCTTTTGCATCAGTTCCTACCCTGAATTCTGGATGACAGACTACAAGTGTAAGATGAAATAAGCCCTTTCCTCCCCAGGTTGCTTTCCATTACTGTGTTTTATCACAGTAATAGAAAACCTAACTAAGATACGATGCCTTTGTCTGAGTGTGGTAGGTCTCGTCTGCTTATTTGTGGGCTGTGCCTCCATGGAGTTTTCCTAAGAACCACATTCGGTCTCTCAGGGCTCTATGTCTTTGCATGTTCACACTCTAGTGAGTAGTACAGAGGCCAAACCCCATTCTACACAAACAGAAAGGGAAGGCCCAGAAAGTACAATGGCTTTCTCCAATTCATTGAGCAGGGGCTGGTCCCACTTCCAGAATAAGTCCTGCTTGGACAGCTTGGGACACACATTCTGACTCATGTATTGTCCTCCACAGCATTTAAAGGAGTTAGACATAACTGTCAATTAGTTAGGAGGAGTAACATGCTGTACATAAATCACTAACAATTAGTATGTGACTAGGATTCAGCATTAGCATTACAGTGGAAAGAAAACCCACTTCATTGGAGAAGCTTTTGTGTTTTATGTACAGTAGCAGTGTCTGGTTCATTTATTTAATTCAGGGAATAGTTATTAAATGTCTACTACTGCCTGTTTGTTTTATGTCTTGGAATACACAGCAGAACAAAACAATCCTGCCCTTTAAGGTTAGAAAAGGGAGACAGGCGCTGGGATGTTGATCTGTGTAAAATGCACATGCTTGTGACAAAGCTGTAGTGACACAGAATAAATGCCATTTACTTATTCAGAGATAAAGCATCACCAAACCCACATTCTTCCAGTGGTAATGAGATCCTCATTGCTGTACCCTTAAAGTAATTTTAAAAATACTTTACTTTAAGATTCATGTAGACAAATATCTGAAATTCTCTTCCTCCTCCTTTCCATCTGGTCACCACAGATGTTTTATGTAAGAGTTTTATGCATCAGTAGGTTATAACCTATTAATATGTGTGCTAAACCTGACTCCCAAATGAATAACACTTTTAAAATGTCACAGTCAGGGTTGGAGAGATAGTAGTTAAGAGCACTGGCTGCTCTTACAGAGGACAAAGATTCAACTCCCAGCACCCACAGGACGGCTCACAACTGTCTAACTCCAGTTCCAGGGGATCCAGCATCCTCACACAGACACACATGCAGGCAAAACACCAATGCACATGAAATGAAAATAAATAAATTTTTAAAAACTGGCACAATCCCATGACACAAACCATACTTCAACACAGTTTTCCAGAAAACCTTGAGGAAATAGAAGATTTAACTATACTAGACTTGGACTATATCCAGGTTGCAAGTGTCCCATTTCGATGGGGACAGATCTACCTTCTTGTGTCACCTCAGTCTGCCCCAACTATCGATTATTTTTGGCAATTCCATAAGGACATGTTTTTGCTACCCATGAAGAGGAGATTGTGTGTATGCATGTGTGTGCATGTATGTATGTATGTATGTATGTATGTATGTATGTATGTATGTATATGTCTGCATACGTGCATGCAGTTTTTAATTGTAGAAGGTTTGAAGTAAGGCCTAAATGTTTCCGGTAAGGCTTGCCTGTAAAATCTCAGGTAAAGAAAAAAAAAGAAGTTAAGAAAGCATCATGGCTGGGCTGGTGAAATGGTTCAACAGGTAAAGGTAGTTGCTGCCAGACCTGACCACCTGTCTGCTTTCCCAGGGCTCACAGGAGAGAACTGACTCATGGGAGTTACTCTCTGATCTCTACATGTGTGCTGTGGCATGTGCACCCACACACAGAAATAAATAATCTAATAACAATCTAGTAATATAACACCAGAGTCTACTTACTAGTGGAAAGTGCTCTGTAACTGGACTTGGAGAGATTCATTTTGATTGACACATGGTTTATTTGTGGCAATTAGCTTTGAGCTGGAGGAAAGCTGCTGTTTGCAGCGGCTGACTTAACTTCTCTTTTGGTAGGTCAGTCCACCTGGGGTCCTCTGCTTGCCAGTGCTGAACATCCCAAGAACTGAATTCAGCTACTTCACAGAGACAAGGTTTATTTTAGAAGAGCTGAACATCTCTGAGTCATCCCACATATTCCGAGATGAAATTAACCTGCATCAGCTGAACGATGAAGGAAAGCTGTCCATAACGCTTGTGGGCAGCCACGTCCTGGGGAGGTGAGACTCACAGTGAAGCTCTGTGCTTTGTCTGAGTGAAGACTTCTGAGTCAGCTGTCTCTTATTATTGTCTTAAAAGTAAAAAAAAATCTTCTTAGGAAAAGGAGTAATTTTTTTCTTTAATGACGAAATTTGGTCTATATCAGTTCTCCATTTTTACTTTGATATTTCAAATGTGTTACTTTAAGTAGAATACTCTTGTAAAATTTACCAAAATACAAATTTCCCAATACAAATCCTTTGTATTGATGTTGGAAAATAAATAACACAAGTTGAAACCAGATAAAACATATAGGTTCTAAAGAAATCTCATAGAGACAAGGGAAAGCTGGGAAATGGGCCACTTGGTCAGTGGTTTTCCATTTATAAGGTATAGAAGACCAGTCTGATGACAGCCTGGAGAGTTCAGTCACCTCATACTATAGGCAGGAAATGTAGAGTCTAGTGTCACAAATGGCTATGCCCAGGATGCCATGTATGCTCAGTGGAGAGCTCAGATGAGAACTTGACCTGTCTGCCTGCTGACTGGGCAAAGATCTGAGATAAAGGCAGAGGAATAAGACAGAATCCTTACCTACATGTGACTACAGCGGGGCCTCTGTGATCCTTCTCTACTGCTATTGAATGATGGGACAACAGCTAAACAGCCTACAGCTTGAAGTGCTCATTCTTCTCCGTTTGCACATTTGTCTAGTTTTGATGACCATCACTAATTAACCTTGGCCTTAGAATACTTGAAGTAAAGCCTTCATATTTAACATTTTTAAATGTAACCAATTTTTAGGACACATACTTTAATATGAATTAAAGTATACCGAGGCAGTTATCAGTTATACAAAAGATTATACGGTGTTTGGAAAACAGTCTGTGGACTTGTGGACTACTTTCATCCCTGTGCTGTCTGAGACAAATGGAAGTCTTTTGAAACATATTTATCAACCATCTGTTGAGAAGAGGCTGGAAGTTTTGGGTGAGCTTTTGGACTGACTTCAGTTATCAGTTGTATTTGCCAGCTTTGTATCACTGTAAGGAAGCGCCTGACACAGCTACCAAGGAAGAGAGAAGAGGTTTATCTTTCTCATGACTCTGGAGAGTCAACTCTCAGATCAGGTCACCAGAGGGGCCTGTGGTGAGGATGGTATTTCATCAGCAAGAACAAAACTGCCACACCTTGAATCAGGGCAGAACTAGAAACGAGAATAACCCAACCCCATGTGAGGGCATGTCTCCAGTGATCTAAGGATTGCTGTCAGGCCACACCTCTTGAAGCCTTCAGCATCGTCCAATGTTTCCACCATGGGTACCACTCTGCACAAGTGAACCTTTGGAGGAAACTCAGTCCCCAAACCACATATAGCCTGGGTGTTCCTATTATCACACACTTGGCTAAAGGTATGTCTAATTTTTTCAGGACAACTCATGCAACACACATGAGTACAGAGAACATGACCATACAAGATGGGAGAGAAATTTGTCACCACTTAAAATGGAAACTGTTAGGCTTGACTTGAGACTGAGGTTTTAATCTTTAAATTTATGGTTGTTTATGAAATGGAATATTCCATAAAAATGGAGAGCTAACTTTCTTTACTGTTACTCATTTGTTCTTGAATAGTAAGAAAAAATGTAGTTTTATCTGTATCTGTCTGCTTTTGAAAAATCTACCTCTATCATATATATATATGAAGTTGGTGAGGGGTTGGGGATAGCCTATTGACAGACACTTACCTAGCAGGGAAAGGCCCCTAGAAATTGATCTTTGGCACTCCAAAAGTAAAAAAGTACAAATTTTAATTAATTATTTAATTAACATCTTGAGTTTTAAAAAAATCATAGTGAAGCTGTCACAGGCATTGTGGTGATTTTTTTTCTGAACTTCAGTGACTGTTCTGAACAGGTACTGGAGTTAATTGTCGGCTAAAAGCCATCTGCTCTACTCTTTGACCACCTGACCATGAAAACATCCCTTAGCCCCATTGTGCCTCAGTTTCTCCATTCATGAAAGGAAGATCTTACTAGAACCCATCTCATAGGGTCTGAACATAGCTACAATGTTTCTAAATAGTAGCTACTGTAGAGATAAGAAAATAATCCAGGAATTCTGGGGGGTAATGAATGGAAATAAATGAAGAGACACAGAGTAAGGTCCTGTTGTCCCCTCTGAGGGTATGTGTGTGTGTGTATTTGAGTGTGTGTACCAGCACCCATGTAAAGGGGTACAAACTCGTACAGGCCAGAGAAGTCTTCTTGCACCTCATCTTTTGAGAGAAGGCAAATAGGTGAACCCAGTGCTCACTGATTGGCTAGACCGGCTGACCAGCAAGCCTCAGCTGCTCCCCACCCACCCCAGTGTGGTGCTGGAGTGACCACAGCGAGGAGGAGTATGGCTGGCTTTTACATGGGTTCAGGGGATCTGAACTGAGGTCTTATTCTTGCTCGGCAGTCATCTTAACCAACTTTCTAGGTGGTAATCTTCACAGTCATGAGAATTTATGTTTTGGGCCATTTAGGAAAAATTATTATTCATGTGGGAGTAGAGACTGAATCATCCCCCAAAATGGGAAAACACGCCTTATCTCTTTCTCTTCCTCTCCATTCATTTTCCAGTGAGGATAGAAGTTTGGAAGCGGCGGTTGTCAGAGTCATTAACCCCGATGAGCAGAGCGATGGTGAGCTGGGGTTGCCCGAGTCTTCCTCCTCGCTGGTGCTGAAGGAGCTCCTGCGCGAGGCCCCCGAGCTCATCACCCAGCAGCTGGCACATCTCCTCAGAGGTAAGGGCGGCACTGCCAGAGTAAAGACGGGAGGCTTAATGGACTGATTCTGGGCCTGCTCATGCAGAAAGAGTGCGATCCATTCTTGGGTTAACAATCCCTTTAAAGACCCCGGGAAGCTCCATCAGAGAGGCAGGGAGTAAAGAGTTTGTTAAAGAGTAGCATTATATTGAATATTAAAAATGTGCATTTAGAAACAGGCACAAGGGCCTGTGCTGTTTCACTAGACAAGAATGTTAAATGGGGCTGCTGCATCGTGGTTGCAGAGAGAGCTGCTCCTCTAGCTGTGTTAATAGCCTCCAAAGGAGATTCTTGTCTGTGACAGTGAGAGTGCAGCTCAGAATTTCCCTGTTTCTGTGGCCTTGGAGTATCCCCCTATACTTAGGCATGCTTGGCTTATAGAATCCTGCCTGCAAGGCAAAATATTCCCCTTTGTTTGGATGATATGATGGAGGGCCCTCCAGCTTGGTCTTTCACTGGTTGCAGTTAACATGGGTCACTGCTGCATGGTATTGTCGCAATCAACCCTCTGTATCCATGGTCTCCACCTCAGGAACTCAACCAGAATGATCACTTTAAACTGTTTATATCAGCACAGTAAAGGATCTTGTGGTTTTGCCTTTTGCTCTAGTTGCTTCACTGGCGATAGGTCTTAAGTGCGTTTGTTCTAACTTTTCCTTCTCCTAGAGCACACTTGATATTTGCTATCTTTATATATGGTTTTGTATCAAGCCTAAATCTTTTCTTTAGACTAAAAGGGAAATTGTAGTGTGCCCCAGCCTGTGGGGGTCAGTCAACAGGGACTCTAGGGGAGGGAGGGAGAATGAAGGAACTAGAGACACGAGAGACAGAGACAAGACGGTATTCTGATTAAGTCTCGTTTATTGAAAGTACCAACAGGGCTTAAGTGGGGGAGGTAGCAGAAGGGTGGGGGAACGGAAGTTCTCCTTGGCAGAGTATGTTCCAAGGCCACAAGTCTGCAGCTGGGGGAGTCTGGACTGCAGGCCAGGAGGCAGAAGGGTGGGAGAGCCTGCTGCAGGCCTTGAAAATATGCTGTACAGGAAGATAAGCAGACACAGAGAAATAGAAACTTAACTAAGCGTTAGTCTCTAGGGATATTGTAGGAATATTTAAATGGCTTCTATTATGCTATCCTTATTTAGGGACCTCCACAGTAATGAGATATCCACCCGGCCTGAACATGTAGCGCTGGCCACGACCAAGGTGCAGACATGACTGAGTGGGTTTAGGTCTGAGGTCGGGACAGGTGCCTGTCTCTCTGTTGCTTATAGTTGGGGCACAGAGGGCAGCATGGGTGGATCCTGGAGTGAATCCTTGGAGCTGGAACTTGCAGCGATCACACGCTTCTTGTGTAAGTGCATTCTTTTTTAATAAGCTTAACTTAACTTGTACTGAGTCTAGTGAATCTTGATTCCCATGCAATAGGGTATCTCATTGTTTTTCTCCAAAAAAAATCAGCATAACAATTTACATTGTTTCCCTATTGTGTTAATTAAGGCAAGGGGTTATACTAAGTATTGTAAGTGATATTAAGTTCTGTAAGGCGTGTGAAATATATGTCAGGATGTGACAGGATGCAGGCAAATACTGCATCATCTTACACATGGGTCTAGGGCACCCGCAGATTTTGATAACCATGTGCAACCTGGACTTAACTTCCTACAGACACAATTTGCCATTGCTGGAGCCCACTGCTTCCAACAAATGGTTTTCACCTTAGAAAGTGTCCATCAACTTTGGGTGCTACAAAATGAGCACAGCCATTCAGTTACTTTTGCATATGGGACATGTGAAATATTTTTGGTTTCGCATGAAGCTTTTTTTCTTTCCACAATTCACTTTCTACCTCGTAGCACAAATTATCCTCCAAATGTTTACTACAGGACAGTCAGTCAGGAGACAACAGATGAAACAGAAAATAGGGAGGCTGAGGACAGGCTGGCTCAATGCTTCCAAGGCCTTCCTTTTCTGTCTCACTAGTTACGACACTTTAGAGGGGGGAAGTCCAAGAGTTACACGGTTTCTCTAAAAGTTCTAGAATAATGGCCCCAGGAAACTCATCATAAATATTGTGATGACAATGGATGTCTGCAGCGATGCTGTCTTTGAAATGGTACCCTCGGCTAATCCTAGGAATCGTAATCATTTTTCTTTGTGGTAAGGCAGACAGAAAATAAAAGCAATCAGGAATCTTAGCTCAGGGAAAGTTGTGTGGTAATTCAAATGTGTTGTTCAGTCAAAAGCACTAAAAACATTTTTTTACGTATCTTAGAAACTGAGTAGCTTGTTGTTCTAAAAGTCCAGCACACTCATTATTTGTGGGAAGATGTAGTCAAAGCAGAACTCATCATCGTGAGGTTTTACAAACAGGAAAGTAACATGAAGCTGTAACAAATCCGTACGATGATGTAGTTTGTTTACGCTGCTGCTACTGCTAATGATGACAATGATGATGGTGATGACAATGCTCAGGTTTGTCTCTTCTAGTTGTCCCTTCAGCTTGCGTAGTAGAAACCTGTGGCCATGGTGTGCATGCGTGCTGCCTGTGTGCACGTATGTGGACATGAGGTGGAACATCCCCGAATGGAGGGAACTAAAGGATGGTGAACAAACAGCTGCCTTTGAAGAGATGCCTCAGGGGTTCAGGGTTCTGTCTTCAGAGTCACACAACTTGGCTCATATTTGGGAGCAACAGATGAATTTTGTAAAGTTCTCAAATCTTTAGTTATTTAAGTAAGAAGTTGAGTCAAAGTTTGCTCTGTTCACTGAAGTCAAACTTAGATTTCATAGTTCTCCAATCACATATATAACATTGAGTATAAAGGATGTGTTTTCTGTCTTCCTCTAAGTGGTGTTAGCATCCTTTAATTCTCAGCAGGAACTGTAATCTTTCAAACAGTCTTCCTTAGCAACTGTGAAGCTACTTGGATGTGAACTTGACACATTTTTTTCAGACACGGTACCTATGTAGTCTACATCTTAAAAATGCAAAAGAAAATTAAATACAACTTTTTTATTCCCATGTTTGGCCATGAGAAGTTATAGCTCTTTTAGATGTCACAAGACTAGATATGTATGGCTGAGACTTAGAAGAGACTAGAAAATTATAATGGGAATGTAAAATATACTATTATAAACCTTGTACTAAAATTCTAAATTTACTGGGAGTTGAATACTATATGAATTTGATTGTCTTTTGCTTCTTACACCCATCATCACACCCAGATCATATCACATGGATTTCAGGTAGGCTAAGAAACTGTCCCTCTGTTCTCTGAGAAGACTATATGTGCTTCTCCCTACTGGGGAGACAATAAACTAGTTTTCAGTCTATACTTTCATGTGTAAAAGATGGGGACAAGTTTTTATTTCTAGATAATTACTTATATAGCCCAGGATGGCCTAGAACTCGTGGCAATCACCTGCCTTGGCCTCCTGTGCTGTGATTACAGGTATGTGCCTCTATATACAATGACCAAGTGTTCCAGGCTTGTCTTTCAGTTCCCTTCCCTCATCTCTGCTCTATGTATTGGAGTGTCTGGAAGTTTGTCCTGGACATATTTGGATCTTCATATCACCTTTAGGTGATCTCATTTATTTCTCATTGATTTACTATTTTTAAGTAATATGTGCATTCTGTGACTGCCCTTAGGTCTACACTGAACTTTCATTAGTATTGCTGATCCTGTCTAGTACTCTTGTTACACAAGTCTGTCCGATTTGTACATGACTTTAGCACTGTTCTCTAGGAATACTTTTGAGCCTCTAAACCTAGTTTTATGTGTTTCCTCCACTTAGTTGCAGAGCTATGCTGGCCTCTCACTTGCTCAAGTCACAGTCCAGCAATTATCCTGGGTTCTTTCTTTTTCACCCCTTCCACATTGCCCCATCAGTAGGCTTTCCAGCTTGGTCATAACCAGGTTGTATCTATGTGTGACTGGTCTCCAACCTTGTTTTCCATGATCACTGATGGAGACCCAGTCTAAGCCAGCAGCCTTTCTAGTAGATGATGATGGCCATGGCTGCCTGGCTTTGTACTATTTCCTACACAAAATCAGTTACCTTTCAAAGGTGTAAGACCATGAGCAGTTCCCTGGTTATATCTACTCCTGTTCAGAATTGGGGTCCTCCGTGCTTATGAATAACACAGCCTTTCCTCTGTCCCTTCAAGCACCTATCTTCTCATGGGATGTGTCCTCACCCCTGAGGATTTTTGTGTTTGTTTGTTTAGATATTCCCAACTTTTCTCATTCTGAAGGACTCACACTCAGCTTTCCCTGTGGAGTGCTTGTTCCTATCTGTCTAGTACTCTTTTTCTAGCCGTCCCTACATTCAGAATGACAGCTTCATGAAAAGAGAGACCTTGTACACTGTGTCCACTACCCTGCCTGCTGCCCTGGTGCCTCTACTCTGCTTGGCGCATAGTAAAACTATGTGGATGAACTCTTCGAAAGTGGGTTTGAGTGGGTAGGGAAGTGGGGAGCACCTGGGAGGAGTTGGGGGAGAATGAGCTATAATCAGCACATCTTGAATGAAAAAAACTACTTTCAATAAAGAGTTTGACTTTTTAAAAATAATATTTATACTGTTTTCATGACTTTGTTGATTTTGTGGTAGTGTCTGATACTGAAATTGCCTGCTGTTGAGGTCCATTTCTCTAATATTCTTACTGTCTGGAATATGGACAGTGTTTCTTCTACTAATAGCCCCTTTCTCATTGTATTTTTTTAGCTTGTAGAAATCCTAGTGGATTTTATTTTATTATTTTGTAATGACTGACTAGCTTTTGTTTTCATTAATTGTCATAATATGTAAAAATTTTAAGATTTTTAATATATATACATACTTTTAATCTTTTCAAAGCATTGTGCATCTAAATAAAAAATACACAATACATCTATAAAATATAAATATGCAGCTCAGTATATCACCAGGAAGGAAATGCCCTTTGATAATTACCCAGCAAAAGAGGCAGAATG